TCTATCTGTGTTTCATTGACTATGCAAAGGCATTTGACTGTATGGATCATAACAAACTACGGCTGACCCTGAGAAGAATGGGAATCCCAGAACACTTGATCGTTCTAATGCAAAACCTATACTTGGATCAGAAGGCAGTCATCAGAACAGAGCAAGGGAACACTGCATGGTTCAAAACTGGGAAGGGCGTACGCCGGGGATGCATCCTATCTCCATACCTTTTCTTTTTTTTTAAGTATACAAAGTAATTATTTATATTAAATTTGTCTGACATTTAAAAAAACCAAGTTTTTACATGTAAAAATCATCTCCATAATTTTTAAATCAAATGGCTTATGCACAAGTTATTGATTTAAACTAATAATCTGGTAAGCTGGTACATGTATTAATTTTAACTGCTGTTATCCAAAATAAGTCCTCTTTTCTGTGGTCCACAAATAATAAAAAACAAAACCACTTTCAAATTAAGGGTTCCAATTTCCAAAATACCTCCTGTAGAACAGAAGGGGGGTAAAAACCTTCTGCAATGTTTTCAGCGAATCCACTATTTCTAAACTGGAATATTTGAAGATTATTTGTTATAAGCTGGACTCATTTGAAAATAAACCTTGACTTCACAGTGAAGTCTACGCTGATAAATACATATCCATTTAATTCATTACAGTGTTAAGCTACATACACATAGAAAAAAGTTAAAATGACAAGGATGAGAGGAGTTTTTCATGGAAGGTGGTGAGTTGCCATGGATTCTGCGTCTCTTGATTTTCTGAGCAGGGCTTGTTTGAGGGCACTAATTTTCTCATCAAGTTCAGCCAGTGAACAGTTCTGTTGAGGTGGTTGAACTTTTCTTCTTTTCCCAGTAAAGTTTACTGATAGAAAATATTCTGGAAAGATGCCTTCCAATTCAAGAATTTTATCTTCAAGTTTCTTAATTCTTTGATAAATGTCTCTTGGTACTGGGCCACCTGTCTGCAACCGCAAATGAGCTTCAATGTTTTGAAGTCTTTCTTCTACAGCTTGGTTACCACAATCTCGAAGCATGCGGTTAGGTTTATGACTTGATCCTTGAACTCCTTCAGGCCTAGTCTGTGGGCCATAAGTATTCTATTCACAACTCTAGAAACCTTTACATGACTTTTAAATCCCGGGTAAGGGGTGAAAACAGCATCATTTCTGGCACAACTATTTTCTTGATTACAATCAATGACATTGCAAAACTCTCTGATGTTGTTTTCATTAATTTCAGCTTGCTTTCTTTCAATAAATGCAGATATTCGTCTGTCAATTTCTGCTTTGCCAGCCTTTATTTGAACCACTTCTGGATCAAAATGGATCTTTGTTTGTTTTTTTTTTACATCTCCTAAATCACAACCTTTGTGCTTTTCTTCCTCTTGTACGTCACCAAGGGGAAATGTGGCATTTTCTTGATTCTTGTGGTCCATTTCTGTTTTTCTAATCTCTTTAACAGCAGCTGCATTCTCCTCTTTAATCAGAGGTTGAAGTTTTGCTAAAAAGGGCTGTAAATATAAAACGTGTTGCTCAAGTGCACTGAAGAGCAATGTAGGCTGCAATGCAGAGAGACTCTGGAGCTTGTTCCAATCGATTGTAATTTTCACCACATCATCTTTGAGATGAAGCTGTCCCGCCAGAGTGATCAGGGAGCGAAAGGTTTCGCAGAGCACCTCTCGGGAGAGATTGGGGCTGCAGCTTCGCTCCAGGCTCCTGTCACTGCTACTCGGGCAACTCAGCTCTGCTGCTGCAGCAGCCATGACACCTTCGCCAGCAGCCCCCACCAACCTTTTCAACCTATAAGCAGAACAGATTATCTGGGAGGCTGGGCTCTGTGAGGAGAAATGTGGGGTCAAAATTGGTGGACGATTTAGCAACAATCTGCGTTATGCGGATGACACAACCCTGCTTGCTGAAAATGAAGAGGACCTGAAGCACCTGCTGCAGAGGGTCAAGGACTGCAGCCTACAATATGGATTGAGGCTCAATGTCAAGAAGACAAAGATTCTCACCACTGGACCAATTGGCAGCATCAGGATGAATGGTGAAGAGATTGAGATTGTACACAGCTTTAGTTTACTTGGCTCCACAGTCAACAGTCTTGGCACCAGCAGGCAGGAAATTAAAAGGCGCAATTGCCATGGGAAAGTCTGCTGTTAGGGACCTCTCCAAAGTACTGAAGAGCAATGGTGTCTCTCTGGAGACTAAGGTGCGTCTGATACAGGCCATGGTCTTCGCAATCACTTGTTATGCAAGGATAGAAGGAGAATTGATGCCTCTGAGCTGTGATGCTGGAGAAGAGTATTGAGAATACCATGGACTGCTGGGAAAACAAACAGATTTGTCCTGGAAAGGGTTAAACCGGGAGGCTCCTTGGAGGCAAGGATTCTGAGGCTCTGTCTAACATACTTTAGACATGTTGTGAGGAGAGACTGGTCCTTGGAGAAGGACATCATGCTTGGGAGCGTGGAGGGACAGTGCAGGAGGGGAAGGCCGTCTATGAGGTGGATTGATTCAGTGACTGGGATAATCGAGATGGGAGTGTCAGAGACAGTGCAATTGGCATAGGACAGAGCAGAGTTTAGGGCTGCTGTCCATAGGGTCGCATAACAACACAACAACAACATGCGTTGGAAGCACAACTCTTAACCTCTAGGCCACAAGAACTTCTTAATTAAGGCTAGTCAGCAAATATTCAGTTCTTTGTTTTTTAACTTGTTGTGTGCCATCGAATTGGATCCAACTGGCACAGGAGGAAATTGCCCCGCCTTCTCTAGCAGAGCATCTGGTGGGTTTGAACCGCACGCCTTTGGGACTGCAGTGTAGCTTCTTGCCACTAGGCTGCCAGAGCTCTCAAATATTCGGTTCTAAAAGGCATAACCAGGAGAGCACAGTATGCTCTTTACTGATAAAACATGAGATATGAACAAAATGGAAAAGGATAGGAAAGAAAGCGTTCTCTTAGTTCATTATGTTCCCAATTCTTGTTGGTCACCCTTTTCTCCACCAAGATGAAAGCTACAGACCAATATATGGTCACTCATTTGCTTCCGTGAAAGCCTTGTGGTAATTTCCATTGTTCACACTGAAGGCCTTCATTAGTTCTCTCCATTGTCCTATCATTCTCCTCCCACTATTCCACAAAGCCCCTGCTGTATATGGCCCCTTATGTCCAGAATGCAACGACTTTAACTCTTCCTACCTTTCTCAACTATTTGTTTTTAATTCAAAGAACATGAAATTTTCCCCTTAAAAAAATCTTCAGACAGAAGAAGAAATATTACTTTGCCCACTGGGTCTGGCAATGGCATACCACTTCTTTTTAAATATTACGTTAATATACTTGCATTTCCAAAACAAACAACCCTCTACCAGTGAGTTGATTCTGACTCATAATTACTTTCTATCATATTTCCAAATCTGTAAATCTTTACAGGATAATAGTGCCTTTCTTCCTTCCCTCAGAGCAACTGATGGATTCAAACAACTGGCAGAGCAAAGCATAATGAGCTAAGTATTACAGTTCTTTGTATTTAACCATAAAAAAAGAATAATTTACTACCAGGAGATTTATGGGATATTCTAAACCTGAATACAAACTCTGGCTTCACAAACTGCTAGGAGAACAAACAGATTCGTCCTAGAGAGGGTGAAAACTTGGCTAGAGGGCTGCTCTTTGGAGGCAAGGAGTCTGACATACTTTGGGCATACTGAAAGAAGGGACCGGTCCTTGGAGAGGGACATCATGCTTGGAAGGGTGATTCAATCACTGGGATGGTGGGCGTAGGTGTGTCAGAGACAATAAAGTTCACACAGAAAGGAGCAGGGTTTAGGGCTGTTGTATATAGGGCTGCTATGAGTTGCAAACAACTCAACAGCACATAACAACAACAGCAGAGCTGCTTTACTGTACCTGGCTTTTCTTCCTCTCCATCAGTTAACTTGCTTTTAGGAGGAGTTTCCCGAGTAGAGTTCACAGCTCGACGAATCGGCATGGTGCTATCTTCTACCTTCTAAGAGAAGACATGGTAATAATTAAACAAGCAAACAAATTATTCTCTTTATTTCTTTTTCAAGGAACCTAACTGGATGTCAAAAGATTTAGGAGAATTCTTCAAGTTGACTCCAGGATCTGATGCAGTTTACATTTAACACTTCTTTTTTAAACCAAATTTTATTTTTAAGAAATATATTTAAAAATGTTTTAGGCAGACTTTCAAATGAAAGCAAGTATTTGATGTAGTATAAATTTAAAAGACTGAAAGTTTTCTCAGGAATTTGAGGGTAAAAGATAGATGTAAAGAGCTTTTATCTGATTTTCCAGATTTACAACCCAGGCTTCTCAAAGGAGGGGAAGGAAAAAGTACCAAGAAGGATTCAGCAGGGGCTGAAGTCAGGGACTGATCCAAGAGTGAGCTTCAAGAATGCATCAGCCCCTACCTCACCTAACTTGTCCGCGTGGATCAGCTGAGCTCCTACTATAAGTGGGAGTGCCTTAGGATGGACGAGTTCACCTTGAGACGTATCAGTCGCCATTTAAAATAATTTCTAGGCCCGAGTACAGGTTACACTCTGAAGCCTCTGCTGTTAACCACAAGGATTTTTCCTAATGGTTTCAGTGTGGTGAAGAGTCAACCTAAAGCACAGAAAAGATCTGGTGTGAAGATTAACAGAAACAAAACTAAACTAAAACGTCTAAATTGAACATACAAGGGGGGGGGATATAACAATACAACTTAATAAATTAAGTGACAGATGATTTGATCAATTATTATTCAAAGGTAAACCACTACCAAAACACAGACTATAAAGCAGTGCACAAGACAAAAGCACACCACAGCATTTATTGCACCTTCCACATGAACAAAAGCAACAAGGATAGGAAAGCACCTAAGGAATTCCATCCCTCCTGTTGTCATCAGGAATTTAGAAAGAAAGAGTAAGGAGAACTAAAAACATTTTACTAAAAACATTTAGTCAAAGATTAGCTTACAAAAGAGATGATTTTTATTGCAATGGTTATCAAAAGGGCCAGGGGAAGTTAATTATAACCTGAACTTCATCTCCACTGGAGAAAGAATTTGTTTTTCTATTAATGGAAAATATAAGGGAAAAAATACTGCTGAAAGCATGATATTCTATAAGCCAGAGAATTCATTCACTAATCCAGAGAAACAAATCTAGACCAATACCAAGGAGACCATAAATATGCTTTTAAGTCTTTATTTCTCGTTTTTAATTTAGTATAAAAGCAAAACTAGTACAGCAACAGATGTATGATTAAAGATAAAAATCCACGGAGCTCCTATATTTATCTAATCATTATCTCTTTCCTCCAAAAACTTTACCCTCAATGTAAGAAAATAATCTTTAAGTGTTTAGCTATATGAACAAGTAACTAATATTTGGGGTAATAGTAATAGATGACTCATTTAAATGCTAATCCTGCCTAAGAATGCTGTTAGGTAATAACAGTTACAAATTACAAGTGTGGGTTTTTTTTTTTTTTTAAAAAAACAAACCCAACAAGGAACTCATGCAATATTATTCAAAGTGGGTGACCCTGGAGAACATTATGCTGAGTGAAATATCTCAGTCACAAAGGGACAAATACTGCATGGTGCCACTGTTGTAGAATGGGTCTGACATCAGGGTGGGGATATGAAAGAAAAAAACTGGATAAATTATGTATATTGTATTGAAACAGATGAGGAAAAGAATAGATTATAAGTGATATATGATTGAGTATTATGGTTAGCACAGGAATCCAGAATTAAGGTTGCATAGAGAAGTGTACTGGGGTGGGGGGAAGGGATGTGGGAATTGTATACTAATGAAGGAATTTTTTTTTTTCAAAAAAAAACAATACTGCATCCAATTAAAAAAAAAAACAAAACACAAAAAACCCCCCAAAAACCCAAATTAACACACTCCTAAAAAACAAAACAAAACCAAACCCTGAAAAATGCTTTCACATATACAAGTAAAGTCTTTTCATCATAGTAATAAGAGTAACACCAGAATTGGGAATTGTCCATACGCTGCCAGGAAAGACAATCAAAAGAATTTAAGATACAATAATGCACTAAAACATCTCAATAGTGAATACTTAATAATTACTTAAAATGCTTACATAATAAACGAAAAAGAACTATAAATTACGGAAATAATTCTAGTGGGAAAATCTGTAGGCAAGTCACACTGTTAACCCAAAGACTATACCTCACTGGCAGTGTGAACCCACCAGTGGCCGCTTGGGAAAAAGATGGATAATCAATCTCCTTCCTTGGAAAACCCTCTGGAGTGTCAGCTATGAGTTGGTTCTGATTGAGCTGCAACTGGGTAGTGTAGGGAGCAGTAGAGGAGAGGAGGACTCAACGAGGGTAGTATAGAGTGAGCATCTTTCAAAAGAGGAACATGTAGAGTTTAAAGGTATTATTTATTTAGGTTTGTGAAACAAAAATGCTTACCTTAGGATAATTTCAGTACATAAATCTGCTCATTCATGCAATAGCCAATCAGGCACCACCAAGGTGATCCTGATTCATGGTGACCTTACATGTGTCAGATTAGAACTGTGCTCCACAGGGTTTTCAATGGCTGATTTTTGACAGGAGGGATGTGTGGACTGCCAAGTCTTTTTCTCAACCTTTCAGTTAGCTGCTGAACCCATTAACTAACTGTACCACTAAGTATTCCTCACCCAGCAGCACTCTCATAGTAAGTTACTTTCCTTGATAATTAAACCAAAGAAATTATAGTATTTCATAGGCAAACAATACACAGAAGTTAAATATGATAACGTTATTCTAACTAAGTAAGATGATATTGCTTAATGGATGCATGATTTTTAACCAGGATAAAATTGTCTAGGTTGAGAGTGCTGCTGTGAAGTCAAACAAAACAACCAACCAAACCCAAACAAAAACTCCACTATTCACAGATACATTTTTTAAAAAGTATCTCCCCTTGTAAATAAAAATTGGACAATGACTAGGGAGGACAGAAGGAGAGTGGATGCTTTTGAGCTGTGGTGCTGGAGAAGAATACTGAATGTACCATGGACTGCCAGGAAAACAAACAGATTCATCTTGGAGAGGATTAAACCAAGCTACTCCTTGGAGGCAAGGATTCTGGGGCTTCGTCTGACATACTTTGGACATGTTGCCAGGAGGGACGGGTCCTTGGAGAGGGACATCATGCTTGGGAGGGTGGAGGGACAGCGCAGGAGGGGAAGACCCTCTATGAGATGGATGGATTCGGTGACTGGGGTAATCGGGATGGGTGTGTCAGAGGCGGTGCGGTTGGCGTGGGATAGAGCAGGGTTTAGGGCTGTTGTGCATAGGGTCGCTATGAGTTGCAAACGACTCGACGGCACATAACAACAACAACAAATAAAAATTATCAGAAAAAAAATCAAAGCCTTTCTAGCAAACTCAGTATACACAAATTATTAAAATGTAAAACAAATACAATTCATTTACATGGTATTCCTCGGATTTAAAAAAAAAAACAAAAACGGTGACCACTATACCCCTAAATCTGTTGGAGCCACACTAGTTCCAACTCATTACAAACCTTCAGGACAGAGGGAATCACGGCATAGGGTTTCCAAGGCTGTAATCTTTTAGAGCAGCAGACTGTTACATCTTTTCTCCTTTGGAGGGATTAGTGAATTCAAACTGCCTACTTTTTGGTTAGAAGCCAAGCCCTTAACCTACGGGTAGGGGTGAGGGGCACCAGAAACAATTTTCAAAGTGAAAAGTCTGCCCAATACTTCTGGTTAAAATCTTCCAATTACCACTTTTCCAGGTACTGGAGTTAAAACATTCAGGGCTCTTCATCACTGTACTCTTCGGACTCCAACATACAGACCACTTTTTGGTTTACGAGATTTGTTCTGCTCATTCCTGCCTCAAATTTTGGACTTGTTGGTCTTTTAAATTGCACCACTCTTATCCCAGACCCTACAATAACATTCCTATCCAATGTTAAAAGGCTTTCCACCTCTCAATCATTTAAATATACATTTATTTCTTATTGTGTGTCTCTTGCATACAGGGGTTAGAGCTTAAATTCACCATTGTTATCTCCAGTATCTAGAACAGTGCCCAAAACATAAATAAGTGCAGAAAAACTATGGAAAATAAGTTGAATGAATAATACTTGACATCACCACATTCAACATATGTGAAGACCATTTTTTGTGTGTGTGTATGAAGACCATTTAAAAAAAAATAATCCAAGGTTAGTTGGAATAAATACTAATAATGATCTGCATTACTTCTAAATTTCTTTCATAAAGGTCACAGAACTTCATATTCAGTTTGTAGTCTTTTCTTTATGGTAGATTAGTTAATAGGTAGGAGACCCTTAGTGGTGCAAATGTTAAGCACTCGACAAACAGCCAGATGGATGGCTATCTAAACCCACCCAAAGACCCAGAGAAGGGTCTGGTGACCTGCTACTAAAAAGGCCACAACCTTAAATACCCTACCTAAGAACTTCTATGTGCACACAGAGTTGCCTTGAGTCGGAATCAACTCATGGTCAACCACAATTAATAGATTATTTTAAAAGTTCACTATTCCTTATGCAGTTACTAAAACTATAGAATAGTTGCTTCACACTGTCTTTAAATCAACATCTATCTAACAACTAAACTTTCACTGCTGCACTTCTGAATGACCAACTTTCAGGTTGCTACTCTTTCTCCACAGATATTTTTGTGGCTACTTCACTGATGCATCCTTGATAACTTGAATGTACTTGAGAAAACAGAGCACAGGTTCTCAACAAGTATTTGGTACATAAAAAAGAATGGATAAAATGTAATAAATTAGATTTTAAGCCTGTGCCAAAAACAATGATTCTGAGTTTAAGTGAGTTTATATCCTCATGCAGTCATCAGTCTTTTTAGAAAAGTTAATCTCAGATTAATACTACAAGGATTTGCTTTTACCAAGGAAGAATAAATGCTTCAAATGTTTTAACTGATTAAAAAAATTAACACAGGCAATAAAAAAAGGCCACTGTAGTAAAAGCAAAATATCAGTTCTTATGTTTTCTGTGTACTAAGTGGAACAAAGGAGACCTCTGGTGGCCTAGTGATTCGAATCCACCAGGTAGGTGCTCCTCCAAAGAATGATGCCAAGCTCTTCCAGTGATCTGTTGTTGAGTGGGAACCAACCTATGGCTGATGCTCCAGCAGGCTTTAATCATACAGAAGATTGCCTATCCTTGTGCGAAGCAGCTGGAGGATTCAAACTGCGTGCACTGTGGATTGCAGCACAGCTTCTTGCCACTACTGCCTCTGAAAACCTGCTGGAGTTGTTAGTTTCGAGTCAGTTCTGATTAAATGGTACACAACAAATGGAAGAGAAAAATTATGTGTATGCTATTGACACTGTCAGTGATACACATTTTTTGGCAAGTACTTCATTATAAATGTAAGCAATATAATACAGTGACTATTTCCAAGTTTGCAATCTAACATCTTTCATTATACTCGGACTTAATGGGCCACATCAGAAAAAACATACCTACTATTTAACTGCTGGGAACTTTTTGTTTCTTTTTTACATTTTAATAAATGAGTATGTATTTCGCTACTGCCTCTCTTAGTCCCTTATGTTCTGGACACTACATGGTCCCTGCTGTCAATAGAATCACATTCTAATTTAAAGGCAGTCTGTGTAAGAAGAGTTTAGGATACGTTCTCTACCACACATCTAATCACAATCTTTCAAGGAAACTTAAAAACAAAACTAAACTGAAAGCCTGAAGAACTGTGCTTCTATTTTAAAATAAAATACACTAAACGCTGGAAAACAGTAAAACAAAAAATGTGCTTAACAAAAGTTTTACACCTATGCTAAATGAAACAAAATGAAAGCATCTTTCCAAACACCTTACGTCTCGTTCCACTCCGAGACAAAGCTTGCTCCTAGAGGCCAAGCTGAATTTCCAAATGTGCTTCGAATAGGATTCTTAGATCATAAGGAAGCGACAGACATACTCCTGAGTGTTCAAGGGAGATTGTTTGAGCGTTGTTGTGTGTCAGTCCCGTTGATTCCGACTCCAGTGGACTAGACACAAAAGAATCGCCCGATCGATCATCGATCGGGTTTCCTAAACTCATCTGAGAGCAGACTGCTACTTTCTCCCACGTATCTCTAGGTAGGTTCGAACCATCAACCATTCTGCCAGCAGGCAAGGCCCTTACCCATTGAAAACCAGGATTCAAGAAAAGAGCAAACTATCCTCAGTCCCAGACAGTGGTCAGTCTGATACAGAACCCTAAACATCTAAGGCTCACACTTCACCACCCTCTCTCGTTACAAACGTCTCTATTCACAAACGTAACTTTATCTCCCACATATGCAGAACACGCTGTTCTAATTAAAGCACCTCGTCTAAGGTGCGGGGAGCAGCAAGTTCTAGGTCTGTCACACGGGAAATGAAAGCGCAAGGCCGTCCGTAGCGGCGGCGGCGGCAGCTTTTTCGGGCGCGCGAATAGCTCGGAAACATTCGAGAGGTGCGAAGAAGAGCAGAGACAAAGAGGCGGGAAACGCAGCGCTATACGGGGCCAAATGTGGTGCGTGAGCAGAAGGCTGGGGAGAGGGAGAGCGAGCGGAGCCAAGAGGAAGGCAGAGAAGGCGAAGGAGGTCAAGACTCCACGACGCGGACACCGGAGGGGGATGCGGACACCGGCGGGGATGACAGCTCAGCGCTCGGGCTTAGGGAGGGTCGCGAGGCCGGGGCCGACCGGGGGACCGGAGAAGCGCCCGCCTGTGCAACGTCAGAAGCTGCGGGCGGCGAGAAACAAGCGCTCCGCAAACTCACCACTGGGAGCTCCGTAATGGCGGCGGCGGGGGCGGAGAACCCGGGGGGCGGGTCCGCCACAGCCAGTCACCGCCGCCGGCATCTTTCGAACCGGCTCGGAGAAGCTCTGCGAGGGCTGAGGGGGAGGGCAAGGGGTGCCGGGACCGCGCCGGGGCCCGGGCGCATGCGCAAGCCCTCAGCCAATCGCGGCGGGACGGCGCTAGCGCAGGCGCGCTGGGACGCGGGGTCTTGAGGCGAAAGCAGGCTCTCCCCTCCACCCTCGATTCCAAACAAAACAAGGGCGGGAGCGCGCGCGCGCTAGAGGACCCCGGAGGAGGTGTCAACGCAAGAGGCCGGGGGGTTAGAGCGCAGGGGGGAGGGGAAGAGAGGCGGAGCGGCCAAGGCAGGCGGACAAAAGGCACCACCTCTAGGGCCCCGGGCGCCCCGCCCCCTCCTCTCCGGGAGCGGCGTCGGCGCCTCCGGCGGGCGGCCCCCGCCACTCACCTTCGGGGCCCCGTGAGCTCGCGCTCAGTCCTCGCCCGATTGTTCAGTCCCGTGTTACCTCTATGCTCCCCCCTTCCTGGAGTCTGTGTCCCACACGGCCTCTCAGCGCCAAACCCGATGCCGCTCGTCGCCTCCGCGCTGCTGTCCTCCAGGCCCAGCCGCCGAGCTCTGCCGCCCCGCCCCCCTGCCCGCGGCCCCGCGCGCGCGCTCTCGCCCCCGCCCCGCCCCGTGCGCGCGCCCGTGGCCGCGCCCCCAGTCTGCGGGACGGGAGAAGTAGACGTGCTTTCCCCGCCGGGCGCGCAGAATCGCGAGAGGGCGCTCGTGTGCGATGCCCGGGCAGGTGGACAGCGCCTCCTCGCAATACGCGGTGCCTTTTCGGTTTCAGCTGAGGAACCCTCACTTCACTTCTTACCCTCTGCTTCTTCTGCTCTTTAGTTCAGTCCTTCATCTCAATCGAGTTACCAGTTTAAGAGCTGGTATTTCCCACTCCTCATTTCAGCCATAGCACGAGAGCAGTCTACCCTTCTTCGAAGACTGCCACAGAATTGGAAAACCAGATATCGGAAATTTCAAAACCTACATGCATTCCCATTAAGTCCCCAGATAGATAGTACAGGGCAAGGCGGTGATTTTGGCTAAGAGCTGAAATAACTGCTTGTCTAGTCTGTGAAAGCATCTAGCCCTGGCTCCCTATTCCACACATGTAGGGAGATCCGTTCCTGAAAAGGAAATTTGATTAACACAAAAAAGAATTTCCAATTGTCATTTTACTTTGATATCGGCCTCAGTGTCAGATTACACAATTAGCAAGGGAAACAAGGGCTTACTTGTGATTATTTACTAAACTGTAGTGAACAAATGTCTATTTTGTCACCATATAGAAGGGTCTGCTTCTAGATAAGGCTGGAATGTCCCAATCCCATAAAAATTCCATGTTATGGCACTTTGTTTCAGAATCAAAGCTTTCCTTCATATTTACTGTCCCTGAAGGAAAAATACTTAGTAAACGAGGTAAAAATAGATTTACTAATTTAATAATGCGTAGTAAACAACTTTGCATTCTTTCCATTTAAAACACTCTTCTAGGCGTGGCTGACATCTGTTTTTTCCACCCTCATACTACAGACCTAAAGCCTCTTCAAATTTACAATCCTTGACAGGGGTGAAGGTGGTGTTGTGGTTAAGGCACTTGGTTGCTGCCAACTACCCAAATGGTTTAAGAGAGAAAGAGGAAAGTCAGCTTCCATGCAGACTTAAAGTCTTGGAAACCATATAGAGCAGTTCTACACCGTCCTAGCCGGTCGGTTACGAGTTGAAATTGGGTGGATGGCAGTGGGTGGTGTGGGGGTGATGGGGATGAAGCACCCAGTGAGCACGGTGAGGCATGGGCTCACTCGGGCACATTTCCTATCTGTAGTCAAGTTTTCCATGTTTTCCAGTGTGCCAAAGAGCATTAAAGACCTGATAGTACCAAATCCCTGGCACTCTGGTCTCGGATTCAATTTGTTCATGGGGAATTTTTGGGTACTTCAAGTCATTTCTTCATTCTGTATACTTTGTCAACATTTCTGGCTTTTGCTTTCCTTCTTCTTATTTATAGGTTAAAACTAAGTTTTGTTAAAACCTAAAGATCCTGTCCAATTTTCTTACTGTAAAGTTTTTAAATCCATTTCATGTAAGACTGATCCAGAAAAGAGCAAAGTGAGGTTTTTGCCTTAAAAATATTTTATTCTGATTGTTCACAAATTCACTAAAAGGAGAAAGGCCTGAAACAAAAACACTGTGTAGTATGAGTGTGCAATGAAAGCACTTGTAGTGACTGAGTTGAAAATCTGCTTGAAGACTCAAACTATAGTGGGCAGAAAAAAAAAATAAGGGGGGGTATAGTGGATAGAGCGAGCTGTGCTTTCAACTCAAAGTTGGGCAGTTCGAATCAACTCGATGACAATGAGTTTGAAGGGTTTTTGGAAAATTTTTGAGATATTTGGGGGGCACATTTATTGGTTCAAGTGAGCTCTGGTGGCATAGTTTTAAAGGTCACACCTGTCTGGCAGCTGGAATTTGGCAGCTCCCCTGTAGGAGTTACAGTATCTATTGGAGGGGCAACTATGAGTAGGTTCAGATTGATGGCAATGACTTTGAGTTTTTCTAGATTGGTTCTGATATTTTTCTGATAAATGGCTGGTTTTTTATATGTAGTGGCATCTGAATGACTCCATGAGTATGTGGTCTTACATTTATCTCACTTGACTTTGAGCTATGCTAGTAAAAGCATCATTCAATTTGTGTGTGCGAGCTATGTAATTACTAAGGTAATTAAATTAAGACCTTTTGCACTGGTGAGAACCTGCCTTAGCAAGTTCAGAAGTAGAGTTACTAGTATTTGGAGAAAGCTACTTTTCTTAGAAAATTCAGGAACCAGGAGGACCCTCTTACTCAATGTATCCTCAAATACTGCTATAAAAAACCTGAAGTTCCACTATTCAGAAATTCATTGCTTTACATGCTTTGTTGTTGTTAGATGCCACTGAGTACAATTCATAGGGACCCTATGAACAACAGATCTGAATCCTGTCCTATAATGTGCTATCCTCACAATTTCTTGACACACTCCAGCCCATTGGCAGCAGTCACTGTGTCAATCCATCTGCTTAAGGGTCTTCCTCTCTTTCTCAGGCCCTCTCCGAGGAACATTCTCTCCTCTTCTATGCATTACTCTCTTTTACAGTATTCAAATGAAACACTGGTGGTTCAGTGGTAGATTTCTTGCCATCGGGCTGAAAACTTGGGTTTGATTCCTGGCGAGTGTACCTGATAGAGTGTCAGTGTCAGCTTTTTCATTGTATAATGATGAACAGGTTTCTGCCCAGCTTCCAGAGTAATACCCACTAGGAAAACAATGCTAATTGATAGTTAACTCTTAGGGGCTGAAAGTGCTCTAGCTTTGTATAAAAAAAGCACAGTATGAGCCTTTGAAATGCTTGGCATTAGGATGGAAAAAGATGAAGCACGGTAACCTTCTAAAAATGTTCAAAACCAGAGCTAGGACTTGGCAGTCACTGGGCTAAGTATGGAAGGACACCGTGCCAACTAGCATTAACAGGGAGATAGTAGAAGACTATTGATTGGCGGGTGGGAGAAAAGGTTTCTGATCCTAGCTGGGCTGGCTTTTATTGTCTCATGAATTATGACTAAGTTGCCAAGTGTCCAGAAGTAACCAACAACCTAAGGCAAGGCTTGAGTTCCTTAAGGAATATATAGTTTTAGAAGTATCAGGGAGGTGGTAACCTCTGGACTCTAGCCAGAAAGTCTAGCCATGACCTCCATTTAGCTACAACTTGGAATAGAGTGGCAAGAATTAACAACTTATGCTATCAGGTAAAAAATGGAGACTGATTAAAATATAGTATCAACTCTCCTCTCACCCTTAATGATATTATCCTTTATTATCTGTTGTGTTACACAATACTGGCTGGCTGTCATTTTAATCTCGTTCGGTGTAGTAGTCTTACAACTTTAAAAGCTTGTTCTAGATTCTGACTCTGAATCACATTTGGCCTGAACAGCTTTGGATAAAGGAATTGTGGATTATTGTGCGTGTGTGTACAAGTATGTTTCTCAGTAATATTCACCCTATCCCAGTTGTCATCTAGTACTTCTGACTCATAATGGCCCTGTAAGACATGGTAGAACTGCCTGCCAGGAGTGCTAAGGTGGTAGATCTTTATAGAAACTATCACGTCTTTAGTGTGTGAAGAAACTGTGGACCTCTTCTTGGTCAGGAGTCATGCACTTTAGCCACTGGGCCATTAGGGCTCCTCATTTAACCTGAGTACTGAAGTGCAACGATGTCAGCCTGGAGACTAAAGTACGCCTGATCCAGGCTATAGTCTTTGCAATTATGTGCTATGCATCGGAGAGCTGGACAGTGACTAGGGATGACAGAAAGAGAATTGATGCCTTTGAGCTGTAGTGCTGGAGAAGAGTGTTGAATATACCATGGACTGCTAGGAGAACAAACAGGTTTGTCCTAGAGAGGGTGAAGCCAGAATGTTCCCTGGAGTCAAGGATTCTGAAGCTTTGTCTGACATACTTTGGGCATGTTCCAAGGAGGGACTGGTCCTTGGAGAGGGACATCATGTTTGGGAGAGTGGAGGGACGGTGCAGGAGAGGAAGACCCTCGATGATATGGATTGATTCTGTGAGGAGCGGTGGGAATGAATGTGAGACAGCGAGGTTGGCACAGGATAGAATGGGGTTTAGGGCTCTTGTCCATAGGGTCGCTATGAGTCGCAAATGACTCGATGGCACATAACAACAACAACAACAATACTTGCATTTGCTATTGCTTTGGTTTTGTTTGTTCTTATAAACTGGTTGCAAGTTTAGGGAGCTTTTGTGGTGTATTCCATGAAGAGTCACTCTGGTAACCCAGAAGCAGCCTCTTGGGAGAAAATTGGGCATTCCCTTTCTGTGTGATCTGCAGCTTTGGAAATCTGTGGGAGGTTCAGTTATGAGTTGGTTCCTCTTGGATG